TAAAATTTTGCATTGTTAATTCCTAAGTAAACTTCAAGTCGTTAAAATGTCGACGAAATAAGAGAAGAAACTTACTGTGACATCATTCACAGCAGGGAGGCTGTTGACGGCAAGGATAACGTCCGTACCCATTGAAACCAAAAATCTGGCGAAAGGGATTATACCCAACACAATATCCGCACCAGAATTGTCGGCGAATAGGACAGCCTTTTTGAACGGTGGTTTTGTTTTACTTGTCAAACGTTCAGTAAATTGTCGCATTTTATTTAGATGCTCGGGTTTTTTCACCTTCGTCTTGGCTAATTCGAAGGTGAGTTGACCTTTCCTCATCATCTCCGAAATTTGCCTAGAACCCCAATCAAACATGTTACCTGCCAATATGTTTTCTATTAATAAATCGATCTTGTCTTCCACCTCCTGAACGGAGTCTACCTTTTCGAAGATATCTTTTAAATCTCGTAGGGCCGCTTCATTCTCAGCCGCCTTGACTTTAACAAAAATATCGGGGAAACCAATTTCGTGCAGACATTGCTCTCTAAGGTTCAGCAAGCTTCGAATGGTTAGCGCACCATACATGGTTGGATGATCCCGCAATCGTGTAAGATGGCTCCGGAATAAGGTGTCAAATGATGAAGCGCGGGTATGAACATCCTGTTTCTCGTCATCGCCATTAGAACTCCATTCTATGGCAAGTTCAACCAAATTGTGAAGGTTTTTCTCTAAGACATCAATCCAATGGTGCTGAGAGACTGAATCTGTCAGCGTCAATGTGTCTGGGTTATAATTGTTCAGGTTAGCAAGTTTTGGAAACGCCACCAACTTGGTCGGCGTACTTTCCAGAATCCCGTACGCATTGACAGATTCTTCCGTGATCATTTGAGGAAATGTGAGAATCTCAGAGAAGGAATATGCACGTTGTCTGGTCCGGTGCTTAAGAAAAGCACCGACAGCACCCAGGTATCCTTCGTGACGGAGAAAGAGAGCTCTGATCGCGCCTTGCGACCAAAAATTTATAGCGTAAGATAAGGTGTTCATCGTGATGGGGTGACCTGATGAATTGTCAAATTATAGGTGCTGTTTCCGATGTTCAGGTGAATTATACTCAACGTGTGCTTACCTCTGATAAAGCAACCTCCAAAGTAAATTTTCTTTATCCCATGAGCTTGGGCATTTAAATACGCGATTTGACCAATATTATTACTATTCGATCATTAAATTGGATAGATCTCAAACTATTCATGTTATCGAGACAGAACATGCCAATCAGAAATGAGTAGTGATCTCACCTAACCATAAATAACAATGACTTGGAAATGTCTTCACCACGGAATTTACCCACGTCCTGCTCCACATTCTTTTTAAAGACCTTACCCATGGAAGAAGCAATTGTAGTGGACTTCAGTCCGATCTTACTGTAATCCGTTCCGTAAATGTCCCCAACTAACATATCCTGTAAATCGAGTTTATAAACAGTTTTTTGAAACCGTGACAGTAAGATTCAATCAACCCACCACATTGGTGTTGTCACCGCGTTTGCTCATCTCCAGCATTTCTAGATGTCGAATAAAAAATCCATTGAATTTTCATATTTTCGTCTTCTTAAATCCAAGTGAAAATGTTCAAAGCGAATCTTACCGTCAAATGATTTGGCCTTCGTTAATAGCGACAAGAGACCCCATAAGGTACCTCCACCTAGCTATTGAGAAAATAAAATTAAAACTAGACTCATAAATGTCGATCATACCTCGAGAACTTACCGAAGTACCAGAAATACGTTCAAATTTATCTGGGCCGGTCACTTTCAGTATACTACCAATGAAAGAATGTCATTTTCGATAGGTGATTGATTTTTGGATTAATAAAATAAACTCGTTCTTTTTCATCTTCACACCTGACACCAGAACCGATGTTAACTAGCTGTAGGTTGGAATCATTAGAATGCTATTTGAAACGGAACAGAAAGACAAAAAAAAGACCTACCATGTACGGAAACATGTTTGATGACAATGTATCTTCGAAACACATGGGATCGTTTTCGCTGTAAGTGAATACTTCATAAGGAATTTCAGCAATCAAAAAATTCAAGCCTACAAAAATGTTTGTTAAAATGGAAAGAATAAATATCAAGCGTGAACAATAGATCTTACCGGTTATCAGACAATTCATCTCATCCTCCTTTTCCACTGTCACATCTTTCAATTTCTTGGTAAAACTGTCATAATACTTGTGTGCCCCACCACCGGTAGCCTTTATAACAACTCTCTCTCTCAATTCAGGAGCTTGCGAGTGTCTCCTGGATACGAGATTTGCGATGAAATCCATACACTCATCTATCCTTTCAGTTTCGAATTTTACGAAATTCAGACGACCTCCCTTTGACGAGTTTGGCTTCCTTGAGAAATAAACGACCTTGGCTAGAGAACCACCGATCTGTTGTGTCACGAAAATTTTCATGAGTTCTATCACACTTGTCCGAATTTCGAGATTTGTAAAAGCATACATCAACTGCTATCTGAGAAACATAATCGGTCTGGTTAGGTAAAACTATATCGCGAGTTTCAGAGTAAGGTAATTCGTCACTAATCGTTGCCCCTTCAACGTTCACCGTTTTCATCGTGCAGCGATCGTTTTCAAATGGATGAAGCGAAAATTAAATTGAGAGTTCTGAATAATTACGGATGATGATAATTTTTTTTATGTAGATTGCGACATCACGGACTACTTATATACAGTATAGTTTGGATTATAATTCTTCCGATTCCCGATAATAAATATTTTCTCTTCCATTTTAAGGATATGCAGTATTTTACCATAAATGCCTCGAATAAGAACCATGATTGTTACACTCTCCATGATTTTAAGAAACTGTTCCAGGCTTAAAGATCAAAATTTTATTCTTTGCTTAATGTTTATTACCCCCGACACACATACAAATTAGAGATTCTGTGGTATCTGGTGTCTAGTGATAATTTGAACTTCCTACGTTTTATTTTCACAACAGCGATTGATTTAACAAATGTTCACATAATAACGGCATTTATAATGACAGATTTTCGAGCTGCTATTAAAGTAATAACAATGACTGATCTCAGGCATCATTACGATCATGATTTCGCTAAAATATTTGATATCAGATTACAAATTTTGCATAATGATTGCACGTTCTCGGAAGACGGGACAGAACTTTACGAATTTCGAGGATGCATGAATTGGAATATTATATATATATTCACGCCTACAATAAGCTCTCAACCGAGATTACTCTTTCACGAATTTAATTAATGGTCAAATCAAAATAATCGAGAAAATATATTTAAAATGAAAAAATTTATTAATTTTACTTTCTTCCTAATTGTCGCACTCTTAACCGCAATAACTCGCGGTCTTCCGATGGCTTATCACGATGATTTGGATTCGCCATATTATGAAGAATACCCCAGCCACCATCATCCTCATCATCACCATCATCCGGAGGATTATTATGACGATTATTATTACAAGCGAAGTCTTCCTCCACCACAGATCAATGCGAACAATCCTCATCCAACCCAAGCCAATTCTCACCCACCACCTGGTCACAACCCAGCGTCACTTCCACAGGGAGGTTATCGCGACCCCAACCTTCCTCAACAATATCACGGTGATCCGAATTGTCAAAAGCAACCTCCAATGACGACATGGTAAAGGTTTACAGATCACGTTTAGTAGTTGGGCAATAAAATTTATTCTTAAAATGTCGCCTATAATTTAAAAAGGAAACGCTAGATGTAGGAAAATAATTACTTGGTTATATCTTAATAAGAAGTATTATTTGTGTAATAACGGAGAAACAATGGTTGGACGTTTTATGTATAGAGTCATGAAACGAACTGATTTCATATAATAAATTTTATTTGTTTGATAGAAGCACCTTCCTATCAAAAAATCAACAATAACAAACAAATTTTATGTAAGTATAATAATTTGAAAATTAAGCTACGCAATTAAGCTAAAGATTAAAAAAAAATTTTTTTATCTTAATGTAAATCTCAATGTTATTATTTTGAAAAATAAAAACAACGTTTTATTTAATTTCAAGATTACTTTTGAATCCTTTAAGATAGGTATTAGAAATATCAATACAATTGTTAAATTTATATATATTCCTAAAGTATTATATCAAATTTGTAATTGTTTCTAAAAATTAAGTATAAATAATCAAAATTATAATATTTTCTTTATGCTAGTTAATCTGTAGTTTATATTTATTGAATCAAATGGGTTTTTTATTGTTATATAAAAAAAAGATTTTATTTTTTTATGGATAAACTAATAATTATATTTTTTTATTAATGTATTAATTATTAATTCTTTCATTTTAACTATTCTCTAATAAAAAAATAATAATATAGTAATTAAATTATTATACAGCATTATTAAATTGTAAGCATAATAAAAGTTAATTAAGAATTTCTTGATCTGAATATAATTTATAAAATTGTAAATACTTTATTTTCAAATTGAACATGTATAGTATAAAACATTGGCTTTTGAAAAAATTTAATTGATTATAATTTAACAAAAAAAATATTATTAATACAAGGTAAAAATTGAATCATATATTTTTAAAATATTCAAAAAATCAATTGTTAAAGTTTATTTGATAATTTAGTAATAATAAAGTTATCATAAAATTTTGTTTAAAAGGTTAAAAATTGATTATAAAATTTATACATAAATTTATACATTCTATGAATGAAAAAAATGTTTTTTTTTTTGTAATTATTTTTAAATAATGATAATGAAATTATTTTATGATTTTTAAAATTAATCATAAAATTTTCTTACAAAATTTATTAAAAATATAGTTTTAATATGAATTTTTAAAACTTTTAAATTAACTTATTTTTATATATTACATTTATTTCAAATTCTTGTTATTATTCAATTATTCTGATTTTTTTAAAATCAATTTTTTATAAAATCTTTTTACGTAATTTCAAATCCAAATTTTATAAAATAACTTTTTGACTTATAAATAAAAATGGTAAAATTATTTTTTTCAAAAGCAAATGTCCTCATACTGTATATCATATAATGCATATATTTTTTTTGTTTTACAAGTTATTTTATATTTTGGGAATTTTATAATCGTGGCTGTAATCATTTCAATACAGTAAATAATACTGTACATATAAAATAAAAACTGGTCACTAATAAATTATTAACACCAGTTTCAGTTGACAAGGGTCTTTCGCTTAACGGGTTGAGCAATCCCAATTAGATGTTATGTAAATTTGTCAGAATATTTAATATTCGATTTTATTTATGCACATAAAATAATGTAACTTACAAAATACTTTTTTATAAAAATTTTTTTTTTGCAGAAAAAAAAACAAAATTAATAAAAGGAATGGGGTAAAATTATGAAAAGAAAAATGTACTATACACTACAAATTAGCGAATATACAACAGCGTAGGTCATAAATACAAGGTGATAAAATAATAAACAAATGAAAGTAAGTCTTAAAATATTCATATGTTAAATTTCTACGTACAAATGTTTTACAACTAATGTTACAAAAATGGTAATCCAAGGAAATATGCACGCTTAGTTAAAATTTTGTCGTCCTTATTGATTTTTTCTAGCCTTCAACTCCAATTACAGTCGGTACAATAATATTATTTGCTGGTGACGTAATAATACTTTCGACCTCAATCTTGGTTTGTACCTTTATATTCTCTTCCGCTCTTTTTCCATTTAACTCAAAGGCTGCCGCCTTGGTGGGTACTATCAAAGGTTGATTAACACACGTGTCATCTGAATCACTCGCCTTTTCGCATGTGACATCTGATGCATTTTCCTCTTTAATCATAGTGTCTGATTCATCATATTCCTCATCTTGCATAAACGGTTCCCTCACGGATTCACTGTCATATAATGACATCACGTCCCATTTCTCACGATCCCAATACTGCTCAATGAATGACACGATCTTTTCTATCGGCGAACACGTGTGCTCACTTCGGATTTTCCTGCCCAATTCTTCGGCCCTTTCTTGCATTTTTTCATCAACCAGTACGGCGGAAATGGCTTCATATAGCCGTTCGGCGTTAACTGTACGAGCATTTATGCCACCATTCGGTGAAACACCGTGACGATGTAGAATTGATGCCCACCATGGTTGATCGGCAAAGTGAGGAACCTTCAACGAAGATTCGAAATTTGTTAACAAAAGAACAAGCGAAATAAGCAAAATAAATAAAAAAAATTGTACACACTATTACTGAAGGAACCCCCGCCCTGGCAACGGCGTGTGATGTCCCTGCGCCTCCATGATGTACTACACAAACGACTCGTGGAAATAGCCAAACATGAGGAACATGTCCAACCAGGAAGACTCGACCTGTGCGAACGGCTGCTTGCAGTTCTGGTAGTTTGACGCTGTGTAAGAATGATCGTGATCAGTTCAATTTGTAAATTAGGTTAATTTGTAGAAACGGTTTAGGTACATACTCGCTAACACCAGAAAATATAGCTCGATGTAATTCCGGAAGTCTACTCAACACTTCCAACCATAATTTTACACGGCTTGTGGAGTCGCTAAAACTGTGCATCGACCCATAACCAAAATAAATTGGTTTGTTTCCATCACTTAACCAATCCATCTGTTTTCAAAACCAAAAAATAATTAAGCCAAAAATCAAACGCTATTGCATAATCGATACAAACGGCAAACTTACAAGGTCTGTCGGAGGAACAAACCCAGCTGTTTCTTCTTGAATAGTCATATAAGGGTAATCTAACTGAACTTCTAATGGATTCCTCCTATGAGAATAAATCGAATTAGCATCAGGTATCGAATATCCAACAGATATCATTTATTAATTCCAACTCACGGATTTTGAGGGATCCGAATGAGATTTTTATTGGAGACGTGCAACACAGGAATATGGTTATATTCTATAGCACCACCTGGTAGAAATGGTAATCTAAATCCAAAAAAACAACATAAATAAATTGATTCTTCCAGTTTTAAAGAAAGGGTTAATCAAATACCTCGAAACCGGTTGTAAACCGAGTTCTTTCAATCTATGATTATAAATCTATAATAATAATTCGTGGTACACAACGGATTAGAGATTATAAATATTTGAAGATGCTATTTTTAGCAAAATTCATGAAATCTTACAGGCAACAGTCCTATGGATGACCAAAATGCAGCAATGTTATCCTATGAAAATACAAAAAAAAGAAAAGGTAATTAAATTAATAAACGATTTAGTTCTTTGGACAACAAAGATAAGATTAAAGAAAGAAATAGAGTCGAAACCGTGTGATAATACATACCACCGTTTTCCATATTTTTTCGCCTAGATCGAATGGAAGCCATTGCAATGAATCAAACGGTCTTCCATAAACAGCCTGAAATTATTGTAGGATTGCGAATTAAAAAGAGATTCGGAAGTAAACAACTTTGATGTTAATGAAGAATAAAAGTTTAAAAGTTTATACAAACCCCAATGTAGTTACTAGAACTGGCGTACGGATAGAAACATACATAAGCAACGGGAATGTTTCGGTACATGCACTATTTTTTAGAGAGACCTTATTGAGAATGTCATCATTATTTAAGGAAACAAAAATCATATCGTGGATAACTACTTCTGGGTACATATAATGTGATCCTGTTCCTAATATGACGAAATCGACGCCTGACAAAACTTCTTCGGCATCACTATTTACACGAGGTTTGAGAATGCGAATGAGATTTAATAAAGTTGGAGGAATGCAATTAAGAAAAAAAATTACCGGTAACATTTTTCGAAGCCTTGCTTCAAGAATTTGAACATAAATGGCGATCCCAATATTGTGTATCCCGAATATTTTACCATCCTTCTCCCTAAAAAATAAAACAAAATAAAGATAAATAAAATGATTAAAACATCATTAAAAATAATAACAAATATTTAAAGATTGAAATTCTGTCTCTTTCAAACTATATGCTTATTTACCTGCATCGGTATTTTCCCATTCATCTTGCATGTCCCACTGTTTTTTTTTTAAGAAATCGAAAACTTTGAAAAAAATGATCAAAATTGAAGGAATGCAATCAAAACTTACGCTCATCTCTCTGAATTGTAGTCCTTTGCTTTCAATAAATTTCCTGAATCTACAGTTTGCAGCAATTATCACATTATGGCCGTGAAGGTGAAAGCCAACTCCTAGGTTTATAAAAGGCAGTACATCGCCCAATGAGCCGATTGCTAAATGTTGAGAAGACCGTTAGCGCAATGTACTTTTCGCTCATGCAGTCATCAAAAACCTACCCATGAACAAAACGGTCTTTTGAGAAGGAGACATTGTGCGGAATTTTCACAAAAAAAACAAAAAAAAATGAGAAAAAGGAGTGGGTGTTATTGGAATTTATACTTCGCGCTATTTAAACGCATGACGTAGATCTGTTTGTAGCTTCACCCGGTAATCTGGATTCGTTGTAAAACAGAATTGCGTGTAACGTAACCCGCATGTATTAAATTGCGTAAACCTGCATACCTATTATAATTTTACAGGAATTATACAGGTTTTCAGAACGATCGATTGACACCCCCTTGAGGCTGATTTTTATATTACACTGGTATTTAAATCAACCATCAAAATTGGCACGTGTCTTCTCTTTTCGCCACAACTTATTTGAATTAATAATCCAAAGAGGTCATGTTCCTGTGTGCCAAGATTTTTTTTAGACTTGGTAAATTCCGCATTTGATCTCCCGCCGAGTAATTTTGCCCAATTGAAGTTCAACGCTGTCCGAGCGTTAAACATGCTGGCTTGCGCTAATGGTTACACGAGTGAAAGGTTAGTCCATTTAAGAAGAATTAGATGCCATGTGCGGTCCCCATTTCCCCAAAACATTAAATTCTCAATTAACCTAAAAATGTAATGATGTCTGGATCGGTCGAAATGAAAGACGACTTGAAAATTAAAATAAATTTTG